GGTCAAATCTAACCCTGATTGGTTATCTTACCCAGCTCACTCGTTTAGACCTCGTAGGTAATAATTTGGGCGGTCGGATTCCATCATCAATTAGAAACCTTGTGCAACTTCAATCCTTATATCTCGATGGCAATAATTTTTCAGGTAGGATTCCAGATTTTTTAGGTAACCTGACCGTCCTTGAAAATTTAGGTTTATCCAATAATCAACTCTTAGGACCTATCCCTTCTCAAATAAGTACTCTTTCATTGAAATTGTTTGATTTGAGAAACAACCACTTGCATGGTCCAATCCCAAGTTCAATTTTCAAACAAGAGAACCTGGAAGCCCTTGCTCTTGCATCCAACAATAAATTAACAGGTGAAATTCCTTCTTCTATTTGCAAGCTTATATTCCTTCGACTCCTTGATTTGTCCAACAACAGCTTGAGTGGTTTTATACCACAATGTTTAGGGAACTTTAGCAACTCTCTCTCAATTTTGAATCTTGGCATGAATAATCTTCAAGGCACTATTTTTTCACCATTTTCAAAGGGGAATAACTTGGGATATCTCAACCTAAATGGCAATGAATTGGAAGGGAAAATACCATTGTCTATCATCAACTGTACAATGCTGGAAATTCTTGATCTTGGCAACAATAAGATTGAGGATGCGTTCCCCTATTTCCTTGAAATGCTTCCAGAGCTGCATGTTCTTGTCCTAAAGTCCAATAAGCTCCAGGGTTTTGTGAATGGTCCGATTGCTAATAATTCCTTCTCCAAATTACGGATTTTCGACATCTCCAGCAATAATTTGAGTGGACCATTGCCAACAGGGTATTTCAATAGTTTTGAAGCAATGATGGTCTCTGATCAAAATTCATTTTACATGATGGCAAGAAATTACTCTGACTATGCCTATTCCATAAAAGTGACATGGAAAGGGTTTGATATTGAGTTCGCGAAAATCCAAAGCACTCTTAGAATACTTGATTTGTCAAACAACAATTTCATCGGAGAGATTTCAATGGTGATCGGAAAGCTTAAAGCACTTCAACAACTCAACCTCTCTCATAATTCCCTTACCGGTCATATTCAATCATCAATAGGAATGTTGAGCAATCTGGAATCCTTAGATCTATCTTCAAATTTTCTTACTGGAAGAATTCCAGTACAGTTGACAGATCTAACATTTCTTGAAGTCTTAAACCTTTCAAATAACCTGCTTGAGGGCCCGTACCCGGTGGAAACCAGTTCAACACGTTCAATGCAAGCTCATTTGAAGGAAACTTGGGTTTATGTGGATTTCCAATGCCAAAAGAATGCAGTAGTGACGAGGCACCACCATTGCAGCCATCAAACTTTCACGATGGAGATGATTCAGCATTCTTTGGAGAAGGATTTGGATGGAAAGCTGTGGCAATAGGGTATGGATGTGGGATTGTGTTTGGAGTCACAATGGGATACGTTGTGTTCAGAACAAGAAAACCAGCATGGTTTCTGAAAGTGGTTGAAGATCAATGGAATCTGAAGGCAAGAAGAACGAAGAAGAATGCTCGTAGGAATGGTGCAAGAAGAAACTAAACAACGGAGCTAGTAACATGAGGTAAGTTCTGCAAGCATTATTTGACGTCTTAAGGTTTTACGTGCAAGAGTTTATGCTATTTTTTCTGTGCTATTTCCTTTGATTAGTCTTTTCTTTCGCTTTCGGATTCATTAATAAAAAAAAATTATTTGTATTTTTCTCTATTGCAGTGAAGTTTGGAATAAACATTCTCGCTACCTTATGAGATACCAAGTGGAGGTTGACATGAGAAGAACGCTAGAGTGCTTCAGAGAATTGGATTCCTCTTTCGTACTGCTTCTGTTTTCCTTCATGGTTGTGTTTTAATTTTATTTTTTTTTATTAGTTTTATTCGATACATGGAATATTTTCCAGTCACTTAATTTGCGTGTTTTTTTTTGGTTAGTTTTGATGCAAGGTTTGGGTGTTTCATCTATAAAAAAAGAACCAATGCATGCAGCAGTTGTTACATCTTTACTTCAATCACCCTTTCTTAGTGTATTCACACTATTTATTTATTTAGGAGTGCGCTTTTTATGTGAAGTACATTTCGCCGTGAAGAGATTGGTTGCTTTAACATTTCGATTCATTAACAATTTATCAAGGTTAATCCTAGAATAGCTCCTAGAATGGTGGATCAGATTATATGTAAACTGCATGTATATGTCGTACAGCTTTGCAATATTGAAAAAAAAAATACAGAAAACGTTCGCATTATCATTTTCTTTATGGTATCAGAGCTCTAGTTCTGAGAACTTAGGAATCCATACAACTAAAATACCTCATGCCTGGTGATGAAGACCAAAAGATTCTTCAACAAAACAGGCGCTGTCGAACTCTTTCAAGACCTGAGAACCATGGGAGAACTCCAATCATCCACTTTTTCTCCATCACTCGGATCAACCAGGCGCTGTCCTCGTTTCACAACCAATTCTAATGCTCTGTTCCTTGCCTACTTTTGGGCAGTGTTATCATGCAAACAGAAGCGTTGGCAAAGTAAGTAGTTCCAAATATTTCTAGCATAGATTTATGCATGCAAAATAGTAATGTGAATAAGCAACCTTGATAAAGCTTAGCACCTGGAAATGGGATGCCGCCGCAAATTGCAACTGGAAAAAAAAATCAAATATGTAATTTGGTGGCTAGTCTTGTTAGGATTCGGAATCAAAACAATTAAAGCTTGATTTGTAAATCATATCTTAGAGATTTAGTTTGATTGTAGTTTTTGTAATTAAATCCTAAAGATTTGTTGCTAGTCTGTCAGTTTACTTATTTAGACAAGATGATTTTATATAAACTATGTACATGCACCGTAGAAATCACACAGAATAATAAGACTGCCACGCTGTTCTTCAAACTCCCTCTGTCAGCTTTCTTGTTTTCTTTAAGTCTTGCAAACGAGACCGACTCATTCCTCGTAATGATGCAGCTGTCGAACATCAACCTCGCACCTACAAGAAATGGTGAGGCATATTACAGCACTTACAGTATTAAACGGGTAGCAACGATGAAGCGAAGACGAGGCCGGTGCCAGAAACAGAGCATTTCACTCATAACCATGGACTTGGATTGCAATGAGATAACAGCGTAGGATTCAAAAGCCTTATTTAGAACATGCATGTTTATGAATAATTCATATTAAGAATTTTTCTGCTTCCAGTTTGCTACAGTAATTTAGAACATGCATGGACGTTTACCGATTTCGATTGTTATTGGATAAGCATGAATACGGTAATCGAGATTAAGCAATGAAATTGATTGAGAATATTAACAATCAACGAAAATCAATTAAGATTCAGACTACAAATAGAAATAAAATATGAAAATCTAATTACCTACGATTCCTTGTTCGATTCGTTCTCCCATTTGTATGTATTCAGCATCAATAGTTTCAGCATCACGTAAGAAGGTTGAGATATGCGCCGGTAGCATACATATGAATCACATTTGCATTCTACTTTCAAATTCTTCAGTCTTTTGAAGGGAGCACCAAAGTTCATGTAAGAGACAACCACTTTTCCCCATGAATACAAACCTTTACCAATAATAAGGATAGGTAGAGCCCCATACCTTTCGTTTATATATAGACACACACATAGTATGGACATATTCCTGGACGTAATATATGGGTAAGTGGTCAGTTTCAAGAGTCAAATAACATGAAAAAGCTCATTAACTCAAGGTTTTCAGTCCATCACACATTTACATGTATATTAAGAAGTACAAGTAATAAGATTTAACTAATCATACATTTATAGGCATGCCGAAACTTTAAGAATTTTACCACCCGACTTGGTTCGAACAATCAAAGTAATTTGGATTTTATTTTTTTTAATAATGCTCATCTCATAAATCTCTCTTCTTCTTCTTCTTCTTTTTTTTTTTTTTTTAATAATGCTCATCTCTATTCACACTGATCATATGTAGTGGCATGGTTGCATCGGTTCTTTGTTTTTGGAAGGTGAGATTTAGTTTTTCGCATGTCTTTTCCAACTTTAATTTTACACCATGTAGTTCAAGAAACCCTCTTGTATAATTTTGTGTTAGTTAGGTTAAAGAAGCACTAGCTGACTTCAATTTTGTAAGTAAGCTAGGTACGTGCATGCTCGAATAATTAATGAATATCATATTCTTTGACATTAATTTTCCCTTTCCCTTTCTCTTTTTTGTTTTACACAAAAGTCACAGTAAAAAACACCTTTTCTTGTATATATTATCCAAAAACAATTTCCCAAGAATCATCATAAGATAACTATCTAAAGAAACAATAAGAGATACAAACCTAGCTACTAAATGGTATCTTACTGCCTAGTGCCTAATATCAAACTATCTAATTCCAAAACAATTTAAGAATTAATATGATAAACTCCTGGGCTTAAAAAGAAAAGAAGTTTAACTACAGGGCCCTTCTTTTTATCATCTATTCCTATTGTTTTTCTGATTAAAAATGATTAAATTGTCTTATTATTTATTAATTGTGAAACCTCACTTTTATATAAATCTAAGCTCTCTAACTTAAAAAATTAAAATAAGATATTATAAAAAATTATATCATTCTCTCATTGTTTTTCATTTTCATAGAATATTAAAATTTTGTTTATTTACTGGAAAATAAGTTTTTTTAAAAAAATTAATTTCAAGAAAATTAATTTAAAAAAATAAATTATTTTTTAATATTTAATAATGTAATAGAAAATAAATTAGAAAATATTTTTTAATATTTGGTTATGTTATAGAAAATGAGGTGGAAAATAATTTATTAATGCTTTATTTTTTTAAAATTTATTAAAATAATAAGAAATAAATCTTATAAATTTAAAAATTAAATTAAAAAATATATAATTTTATAAATTATTTTAAATAAATTATTTAAGTAGACATGAAGAGAGAGAGAGAGAGAGAGTCGGGGAAAGGGTCAGCAGAGCAGATCAGAGCGAAGAGTGTGAGAGGGAGGGAGGGAGGGTTCGATAATTAAGGAGGCCCAGGGTTTTCAACAGCAACAACAAAGAGAGACAGAAAAATGTGGAGGAGGAGGAGTCATTTATTACTCAGCAACGCCGTAAGAACCTCCCACCACCTCTCCTCCTTTTCGGCTTCCACCGCTTCCAGAGGCAGAGCCCCCCCCCCTCCTCTCCTCTCTCCTCCACCATCTCCGTCCGCCTCTTCACTCCCTCCTCCAATTCTCCCTTATTTAAACCCCCTTCTCTTCACTTAGCCCCAAACAACCGCCTTTCCTCTCCTCTCTCCTCCACCATCTCCGTCCGCCTCTTCACTCCCTCCTCCAATTCTCCCTTATTTAAACCCCCTTCTCTTCACTTAGCCCCAAACAACCGCCTTTCCTCTCCTCTCTCCTCCACCATCTCCGCCCGCCTCCTCCGCACCGGCCGCGACCCCTTCACCAGGTACATTCATTCTCCATTCCCTCCCTGTCTTTCTTCCGTTTTTTTATTATTAATTTATTATAATTCATGAGTTATGAGATTACACCACCTGTGAATTGGGGGGTACGGATTGTGCCGGAGAAGAAAGCGTTTGTGGTAGAGAGATTTGGAAAGTACTTGAAGACGCTGCCATCTGGAATCCATTTCTTGATTCCTCTTGTCGATCGAATCGCTTATGCTCACTCTTTGAAGGAAGAGGCTATTCAGATTCCTGATCAATCAGCTATTACCAAAGACAATGTCAGCATTCTTATCGACGGCGTCCTCTATGAAAAGATTGTGGTATGATACCTCTTTACTTCAATCACCCTTTCTTAGTGTATTCACATTATTTATTTATTTAGGAGTGTGCTTTTTATGTGAAGTACATTTCGCCGTGAAGAGATTGGTTGCTTTAACATTTCGATTCATTAATAATATATTGAAATGCCAGACATAAATCATAAATGTGAGAAAAATTGGTTGCTGCTCTAGGAAATTGTGACTTGGTTCGTTCTTCAAAATTGTAATGACACTTCTCCGTTTCTTGTCTTATCAACCTAGTTAAAACTCTAAGGTTGTTTCGGAGTTTTTAATTTCTCAGTTTTACCTCAGCTTAATTCAACTCCACTTTAATCAAGCTTTGTTGCAATTGAGTTCATGCATCATTTTTATCTGTTCGTACAGAATTGCCATGCCATCTTGTCATGCTTGGTCGTTTTCCACCGCTTCTTTTCATCGCATTTTTTCTGCCTCTCATATCTTTGCTGCTACATAATGCGGTCACTTTTATTCACCTATCATATCTATAAAACTTTGTTATGCATGGCTTAATAATTGCAGGCAACCTTTTTTAGAATCATTTGTTCAATGTCATGAGGCATTGCAATATTTCTTCATTTGTCAATTCATTGCTAATCTTTTGTATTGATTATTTTTAACAGGAGAGAGACAGGCCAATATTAATATTGCTGATGGTCGTAAGAGTGCTCAGATCTTGGCATCACAAGGTTAGTTTTCTTGTGTCTCATAAGAATTCTGTTGCTTAAAAGTTTTATTGGAGATGGTTGTAACTTCTCGAGTATTGTTTTGAAATAGAACTTGTTTTACTTCTTTAATGTTTATCATCCAATTGCCATCATTTCTTCACGGAAACTCCCTTCCTCAACAGGAGAGAAACAAGCACTCATCAACAAAGCACAAGGTTAGCTTTCTCATGTCTCTTTGCTGTGCAATAATCAATTGATGCTCCTCTATTTCATTTTCTAGACCCATAAGCCGTTCTAAATTAGTAGATAACCAAACAAAATTCATGAGGTGATATGATGGCTTATCTTGTTACAGTTATTTTGTAGGCAGCTAATCTCATTTTTCTTTCAATCCTTGTCTTTCGTATATCCTTGTGTATATGTGCAATGATCCACTGATTATGATTGGGTTTCATTGGAGATGGCTGTAGCATCTCAAGTACTACTTTTTAAACAAACCAAATGATGTGAGAACATATTTGTTATTTTATGACTTTTCATATCTGTTGAAGCTTTTAAATGGTAGTGCTGATACCTAGTTGCACTTAAAATAGGTTTGGCTTTTAATTTGCTCTTCTAGTCTCCTGGATTGTTTAGCATTGGATGCTCTAGTTTTTCATTTTCTAGACCCATTAGCTACTCTACAATATTTGATAACCAACTAGACTTGATCCGACAATATCATGGCTTATCTTTATATAATTCTCATATGATCGGCTACCAATCTCGTATCGTTTTAAAGCCTTATCGATAATATTTTAGGTGAGGCTGAAGCCATCATTGCTAAAGCACAAGCAACAGCCAAAGGAATTGCCATTGTGTCAGATAATATTAAAAAGAGTGGGGATTGAGGTGAGGTTCTCCATGTAGATTTTGATGTGGTTGCGTAAACAAGATATATCCCTTATGTCATAACCTAAATCTGGGTTATTCCTCAAAACTCATTTCTTTTTCAAAATGAAGACAAAAAAATAATAATAAAAGCTAGCAACATGGAGAAAGTAGGCTGGGAAATCAAGTTGCAATTTTTGGAGAAAAATCAAGATCTAATTGTGCCCAATTATGCTCAAAAATGGAAAAAAAATGCAAATTCAAGGTTAAATTAAATGATTATTGGATGAATTTGTATAAAAATTTAATCCAATGACATAATTAAATTTTTAATAGGTCAATTTGATTTAATCATGTGTCAAATTAAATTTTAATTATGTTTAAGAACTAATTTGGGTCCAATTGAAGGATTTAATTAAGTGCAAGGACTTAATTATACTTTAAAATAGGTCAAATTAATTTAATTTTGGGGCTTAATTGGTGAAAAATTAAGTTTGGGAGCCTAATTTGGGCTTAATTGAGAAGATTGGAATTTTAAGAGACCAAATTTAATTTTTACCAAGTTAATTGATTGAAATTAAGGGCTAAATTGCAAGATAATTGAAGTTTTGGCGTCAATTAGGGGTTAAATTGACAAAATTTACAATCAAGGATCAATATGCAAAAAGCGTCAATCCGGAGGTTAAATTGAAGAAATTGAAAATTTAATGGTCAATTAGGTATGAAATTGCTTCAATCCGAGATCAAGGACCATATTGCAAAAGGCGCGTAAATCTGGGGCTGAAGTTGAAGTTATGTCGGGATCAAATTGCATTAAATCAAAGGTTTAGGGTCAATTAGGGATTTTATTGAAAGCTGGAGGACTAAATTGAAAATCAGCAAAAATCTCTAATTTTAAACCAAAAAGGTGTTGTTTTTTACTTGAAAAAAAAAAGAACGCCTGGTCACTGTTCATCATCTCCCCCTTGAAGTTGTCAGGGTAGCAGTTTTGCAGGTGCATTTAATGCCTTGTTTGTGCTTCAAAATTGACAACTCATGCACCAAAATGGCCACATGAAACCCCTCTATCCCTGAGAATTGTCCTGTCAGGCTTATAAACGTCAAAACTACTCTGATGACCGGTCTAAATTGGCCACCTCGGGCAGCCTTGGACCGTTAAATTTGGCAGTTCGAGGTGCACACTTTGAACCAACGGTTTGGATTCTTCCAGTCAAATTAAGGGCTGAAAATTTTTCCCTCGTGAAGACAAGATTGCCCTCTTCCACCTCCTATAAATAGAGGTGGATTTCATGGCCTGAGAGAGAAGAAAATCGAGTACAAAGTTGACAAAAAACAACCTTTCTCCCTTGTTTTTCATCATTTTCTGCTTTCTCCTTCTCAGCCGCACCTTCGGGGGCCACTAATATTGCCACCGTCACTCCCACCACAACTTTAATCACAACCCGACACTCCAACAACCTCATGTGGTGGTTGCAACACCTCTCCCTCTTTCTCTCTTCTCTGCGAAAATCTTTTCCCTCTCCACCACTGTGACTCCAATAGTAGTAGCGACCACCCATTCTAGCGACTCCCACCCTTACCAGCAGCGGTAGAGGCGGCGACTCTCTCCTCATCTGCTCTAACTGCTAGTGATTGCAGCACCGATCGTGATAGCAGCGGCGCTTGCAACTCGAGCAGCAGCAACCCCGGCTGCTCCACTCTTCACCGTTGCTATTACTTGCAGCAGGTCGCCCTCCTTGGTCAGACCACCCTCACGCCAGGTAACTTTCTTCTTCCTCTTCCTCCCCTCTCTTCTTGTTACTCCTCCCCACTATTCACTGCGTAAACAGTAGGCGTGAATTATAATTCACGCCCATTACTCATGCATTGGATTTTGGGTTGAGTCGTATTTGGCCCAGCCCAAAGTTTTGGTCCGGCCCGACCCGACCCTAAAGAAATAAATAAAAAGTGTTGGGCTGAGATTAGCCCAACCATTTCAGGCCGATGTCGGCCCAACCTCTTCTGTGGCTAAGCCTGGCCTATTTAGTTGGGCCAACCTAGCCCATGTAAATTTTTATTTATTTATTTATAATAATATATTATTAAAAAAATTTGAAAAGTCCTCTTGAAAAATTTGTGATTTTCTCAAACATTTTTCTATCAATTTTGCATAATATTGGGTTGTATATTTACATTGTAAAATACAAATCCGGTATTAAAATACCCGATTTTCTCTGAAAAAATGAAAAAATTCTAAAAAAAATTTGAAAAGTCCTTTTGAAAAATTTGTAATTTTCTCAAATATTTTTCTACTAATTTTGCATAATATCAGGTTGTATATTTACATTGTAAAATACAAATCCAGTATTAAAATACCTGATTTTCTCCAAAAAAAAGTTCATGCATACGGCCAAAACCTAAAAACTTTTCCAAGAATATTTTTTATTAAAAAAAAACTTGCATCTTTCTCAAGTTTTGAAAATAAAAATGGATATCATGACTGGTTTATGATTCATTAGGGTTTGGCCAAAATATCAAAAACCTATTTTTCAAAAATTTTTAAGATTCAGATGTAAACTTTAATAGTAGGGAGTGTAAAATTACACAATAAAGTACAACCTCAGGTATTAAAGATACAAGGTATAAATAAATACGATCCTAAAATTTAGATTTTAGAATGGTTAGGATTTAATCTAATAAGGTAGAGACTTTCTCATGAAGAGAGATCTACCTTGAACTCTAGAAAAGACTAACAAACAGAAACTCGACTTAGAAAACAATCAAATAACAATGCAGTTTACCTTAGGTAGGGTATATTGAGGGTGATGCGTCTTTCCCTTGCACAACCAGTCCTTTACTCAGATTCTTACAAACCATAGGTTCCTAGCTACCATAATATTAGATGACGACTCCTAACAAATCAAACAAATAAACTAGAAAATCACCAGCCGACGCCGCTTGTTGACATCCGACACCTTAGATTAATGATTTTGCAAGTGTTTTTTGTAGCAGCTATGGTAGCAGGGAGGCTTGTTAGTGTAATGTTGCATTTAGTAACAGATTTCCTCAAAGAACCTTTCTCTGGTGAAAGCAAATCAACATCAGAATCACCATTCAAAGTACCCTTTTTGTTAATTCTTTCAGGCAGTACATCTTCACCCAGGACATCAAAAGGAGAATTCCCTATCCATACCATGGCTACATTCAGCAGTCTCATTCGTGTCATCAATTCTTGCTCCATCTATTCTAGCTTCCATTGGCTCCTCAGAACAAAATTGCTCAGCAGCAGCATATGATGATTTGAGAGAATCATGTTGGGAGGATTCTAAAGTATCAAAGCTGGAAGGATTCAACTTCCCAGCCCAATTTTCCACGACCTTCTTTTTATCAACCCTACTTGAATTAACCTCTAAGCATGGTTTTTCTGTAACTTTACTGGCGAAGACCGAACCACTAATCTCCACCTAAGTGGTTCTAACAATATGCTCTCTAAGGCGAGTAACTATCAACATTCTGCCAAAGATTTAATAAACCAGGAACAGAGTGAGGACCTATGCACAAGCTTTTTAATTCCATCAGAGACAAGCATGACAACTTTATTACCGTGGACTTCGATTTAATTAAATTAAGATGTCTATGCATACCTCAATAATTGCACGATATAGTTTGAGAGATTGTGCATTGTTGATTATCAGGTATGTAATAATCTTTGATGCAGGAGGTTGTGATCGATTGGATACGATCTATTG